CCCCCCCCCTCACCGGTGCCTTGCAGGCTGCCAGCGCCTCGCCGACTACCTGGACGCCGTGAGGAAGGACTTCGTGGCGGTGGCGCGGGTGCTGCGCGACAACTGCGAGGCGCACGGGCACAGCGAGAGCTGCTACAAGCTGGGGGCCTACCAGGCCATCGGCAAAGGTGGGCCGGGCAGTCCTGTGGCTGCCTCTGCGTCCCCCCCGTCCCGGTACCCCGCCGGGCTTCCCTTTCCTGCTCCCATGGCTTCGGCTGCCCCTAGGCCCCTCCTGGCCGCTGCCCGTGCCCGAGCCGCTGGTGGTTGGCACGGCGGAGCGGGGGGCGCGGGCTCTTCGCCCGCAACACAGAGGACGCGGTGGTCCTGTCAGCAGCTTGAGTTGTTCGGTGTACGGGCACCAGGGCGGGAAGGGCGGCTGATGCCTGAGCAGAAACACAACTCTCACTTTTGCAGAGGTGCCGAGCACCTGCATTTCCTCCTGACCTTGAAAGGAGGAACTACATTCCTGCCCCTTCTACGGTCACATCATAAAAGCCGGGGAAGGGTGGAAAACCTTAAATCGCTTCCTTCTGTCAGAGGAATCAACTCTAGGTTAACTGTGTGTTTGGAGTTTTAATAATTATGTGTGTGTAAGTCGTAAGTATATCCAGTGCTGAATGTTGCTGTGTGTTCTGTTCTGAAAATTTGGATTGTTTCTCATCTCACTGTTCTTTAGAGAAAGTAAGGAAAAAATAAACTTACAAACTGGTAACACTGCTTATATCAGTAGGCCTCAACTCTGCCCAAAATGTATCTGCTGATACGGTTAATGGCTAATGGGTAATTGAGTAATGGGAAGCAGTTACACCAGTGAGCCTTCTTCCAAATGACAATATTTATAAGGAACATTGTATTTTTACTATAGTTCAAAACTAGTAGCAATCTCAGTGTACATGTAGGTATACTGTCAAAAGAATACTTTGCCTAGTATAAACTCTTAAGAAATCGATAGGTGTAGTAGTGGAAAGAGTGTTTTGTGTGTTGGTTTTGTTTTGGGGTTTTTTTCTGTCTGTATAAAGCCTTGTCATTACTGGGGAGTGGAGGAGGGTTTCCTGACTTGAAGAAATTAGGAAAACCTTTGTAACTGAGACAATGATAGTGTGTCTGAAGTCCTAAATTTTTACTATAGCATTTAAAGTGAGGGATGCTGTATTTCTCAAAGAGCACTGGGAAGCATGCTGCAGAGCAGAGACCCCCCATGTATTTTAGAATGTCCTTACAATAATATTTTGGTTTCTTCGTCAACAGGTGGACTTGGCCCAGATTTGAAAGCTGCCTACAACTCTTTTATGAAGTCATGTGAGAAAGGTGGGAAGAAGTCAGTAAATGCATGTCATAATGTTGGGCTGTTGGCCCAAGATGGGAGAGTAAACGATGATAAACCTGACCCTGTTGTCGCTAGAGACTATTACACAAAAGCCTGTGATGGCAATTTTGCTCCTAGCTGCTTCAACCTCAGTGTAATATACCTCCAAGGAGCACCTGGGGTCCCTAAGGACATGAACCACGCTTTGAAGTACTCGTTGAAAGGGTGTGAGCTGGGTCACATATGGGCTTGTGCCAATGCCAGCCGAATGTACAAACTGGGAGATGGCACTGAGAAGAATGATGCTAAGGCAGAGGATTTGAAAAACAGGGCAAAACAGTTGCATAAAGAACAGAAAGAAGCCTCAAGTTCCTTAACATTTGGAGAATAAAACTCGGTTACTGTCACTAAGACTGCAGTTTTAAATGACAAGTGAACTTGTTATTTAAATTGTAAGCATACAGTTTTCATTCATAAGTATCCTGTACTTGCATATGCAAATAAACTTCTGTTTTTGCGGATGTAACAAACATGACCAACTCTGCTGTGCCTTTCTACATTTTAAAATAAGAGAAGTTTTTAAGTGTATTGCATAGATCCCTCCTCTTTAAGGAAAGGAAAAACTTCTGGCCTTTTCAAAGATTGTGCCCATGGTTTCAAGTATGAAAGGCACTTTGTCATGTAGCACTTCAGTATCAGGGCTTGTGCTCAGACCAATTCTCTCACACACACACACACACACACTCACTCACTCACTCACTCACTCACTCACAGTTGCAAGGTAATCCCAGCTTGGACATTCAGATCTGTGCTGATGTGCTGCAAGGCAGCTTTGTGCCAGGATGGCTTGTGAAGCTTGAGTAGGTTTATTTGCTGAAATCAACAATTGTTGTCATGAGGTTGTATTTAGATTTGGCGATTCAGTTACTTTGTCATCATTTCATCAAAATGGCACCTGTAACTAGGAGGAAAAAAAGAAGAGATTACTTGTTACAAGGAGAATTAATAATCTGGTATCTTGCTGATGTTTAAATTATAAGTTTAATGTCATCATTTAACTTCTAAATGCTGTAGATAAGTTCTGTTGAAGTATCTGAGCCAAACGATTGTTTAAGTCCTCTCAGTTCTTTCAAAGCTCTTCTTGAACATCACTGTTGCTGAAGTTTCACTACACTGAGAAAGCTTCAGTGTGTTAATTGATTTATGCAACTACTGTTACTCTTAAAGGCAGCATCAAGAAAGCTCACCACGAGTGTCTTGGAAGAAATTTTTTTTCTTTTTTTAAACTGAGAGATTTTAATATTTCTAGATCTAAAATTTAAATTTTACATTTAAAGTGGATTTTGGATAAGTAAGGGTAATGAATCACCAGAAGATGCAAACTGGGAGGAAAACAAGAGGATTAGTCAAGTGGACAAATAAACCCTGATACTGTATGGTCACTTTTTTTTGGTTTGCATGTGACAATCTTGAGAGACACAAGTGAAAGAAGGTTCTTGTTTATATTCTACTTCAAATGTATTGAACAGTGTCAACAGCCAGTTTCAAGATGGCTGTACATAGTTTTTCTTTGGAGTTATATTGCCCCTAGATTTCCATAGTACGTGAAATAAGAATATAGGAATAGTCTATTGAATATAGGAATATAGCCTGTATTTTGAATATAGAAATCCATGATCAGTGGAAGTAAGCATTACAGCATCAAACTACCTGAAGAGCAATCATACACAGAGAGTTCTGAAAATTAACTTCTTTTTTTTTTTTTTCTCCAATGCAGCTATTTATAACCAGGAACTGTAATTCTGTACTGGGCTCCGGCTGCATAGCTTGCTGCCATGTAAAAGTTTCCGCTCTTCAGAGACTAATGTGAAGCCCACAGATTTTCTGAGCTAACCTCCTGCTAGAACAAGCACAGATTCTGAGCTGCTTTCACATGATGTAAACAAGACTCACCACTTCCGCTTTAAAACCATGCTTATTTTGCTCTCTCTGGACACAGAAATACCATCCTTTGCTTGCACTGTTGGCTTTTTTAACTCTGAGAAGTTTTCATCCTGGCAGCATGTTGTCCCGGACAGTGGTTCTTGCTGGCTGCAATGATTCCACATCCAGGGGGGACATGCTGCTTTAGGCCCTATAAGTATGAACCTTTCCCTGGTTAGCTTAGACATAGAAACATTTAGGTCATGTTCATATGATACCAAGCCCAAAACAGTGATGAGCCTGTATGGCAGGATGTACATAGAAACATCTCTGCCTATAGATCTTGCAGATGAAATAGGCAGGAAGGACAGGGGCAGGAGAGAAAAAAACTTAATTAGCTCTGCTGGGCAGATGAGCTACAGGGGTAGAGTTTTAAGAGAGCTGCCCCAGATTGTGGAGAAAATAAGTAAGAGTGTTAGGAATTGGCCTAGATCTACTTAATTACAGGTGAGTATCTAAGGCTGGAGGTACGCTTTCAGACAAGGCATGTGTACAGGTTTTAAATACCTTTAGCCTGAATGTTGGTTTTAGCATCTTGCCAAGTGGTTTGTCACTGTGTCACATGACTGCCCTGTGTGCCCCTGCTCTCTAACACACGGTGATCACCCCTTGTTGAATTACACACAAATTGTTTTACTTTCCTGACAGCTTCTGAAACATTCTATTTTTTATAATACAGATTTATGGAACAAGGTGCTAACTGATCGGATTTTGGACTCAAATCCATAGCTTATATATATGCAAACCGTAACTAAACATACATCTTCTGAAACAGCTGTCCAAATAAGTAGGGCAGTATATGTAAATGTATTCATGCACTGACATGATCCTTTATAATTCTGATGTGTATAAATATATGCAGAGTTGTGATACGTCTGTGTATGTTTTGCTGTAAATTTACTGCTGATTTAGAACATGAATGCTCTGGCTATGGTCAGAATAAAGATACAAACTTCCTATTGAAGTAAATGAAGTGGGAGAACAAAACAACACTAATTTGGCTATTGCCACAATTGAAAGCACAGTTTTTAGCATCTCATTGCATGCTGTCTCAAGCAGAGCATGTATGGATTAAAGCACTTTTGACAGACTTCTTGGAAAGGATGTGCTTACTGCTGGAATAAAAACCCCAGTGGCACAGTGTGGTGCTGACATGGGTACGCTGTAACGAGAGATGGCAGTATATGAAAAACATTCTTGCGTACAGCGTGGGTGTAAGGGCTATGGCTCTTGTTTTCAGCAGCCTGAAAAACACATAGTGGTGACAAAAGTGAGATTAATTTTTCTGTTAACACAGTTAATGTTTTAAGGCAGTTCAAGAAAGTGAAGCTCTTTTAGAGGAACACACTTTGCCTGATTCTTTGCTAGCTACTGTTCTGGGCATTTGTTTCACTTGGGGAAAGGTAAGTAACTGCTGCATAGCTCTGTGCAGTGCTAACAGTCTAGTTATAAAACACTGGAAGCCTTGTGGTCAGAAGTAAGCAATTACAGTAGCTCAACGCGTTGGAGAATTGGGTGACATTTTAAGCCCTGATCTTTTTTCTTGAGCTTGTAATGCTCGTTGCCTCTGAGTGGCTTGTTCAGCTCCTCAGCCCAAAGGAGCCTGCCGCACTAGAGCAGGCTTTCTCCCACCAGGACCAGGGCTGTCAGGGATCCCTCCCTGGAACTGCCACTCAGCACAGCCCCTGGGAACATCCTCAATAGAAGTGACACACATTGCAGATAATTAAAGCCACATATAAAGTGCATGTTGCGGGGAGGTTTTTTTGTAGCACTTGAGAACTCAAGAGACCTGCAGAGTTTAAATATAAAATGAACTGTTGTCATAAAAGCTGTCAAGTGTGTTAATACAGATAAGTTTATGAGGTATCATCCAATTTTGTACTACTGGTTGAAAAGGCAAACCCAAATTAAGAAGGCTCTTTTTTTACTCTAAAAACCCATCAAAACCAGTTTAAAATGTTTTCAGGCTGACCGTGAATAGTTTGCTGCCTGTTCCGGACGCATCTATATCTTTTTTACACAGATGTTGATGATGTTGTAACAGATGCATCAGATGGGTAAGGCCTTCTCCTATTTGACTGTTTTCCCTCCAAAGTAACAAAGCATCAAAAAAAGACCAGCCAGTCTCATTTCAGCATCTTGTAAATTATATGTGGTTAATGCAGCCTACAGCAGAGACTATAGACTCTATTAATAGTAGTCTATTCTCAGTTTAGAGGTTATGTTCAGTAGATTTAATCAAAATGTGTTAAGAGGTGAAAATTATACTGCAAATCTTGGTTTATAACCATCTTGCTCTGATATTACAAGAGGATTACCAAAAGGCCAATAACTTCATGCTCTTTCTTTTTATCTGATGCTACAAAGGCTAAATTTTATGTCCTCTTAGGAAGAAAACTGTTTCTCCAAAGCCTCTGAGGTCGTAAAGAAAGTGATCGATACGTGATCATAATAACATACTTGGAAATATGGAAGACCTCTTGGTCTCTTCAGGATCAGTGGACTGTCTAAGAAATAAAGGAGTTTATCTGAGCTTCACAGCTCCTAAACCACTGTCTTTCATTTGTTTGTATTGATCTAAGCATTTAGAATAAAGCAGACTATACTTCAGAAGGAATGGTGACCACTCTTAATTAATTAAACAGATGTATAAATACATGTCTTTAAATGATGAAAGCATTTACTGCAGGATACCTCTTGCAGCTGTGAAAAGATCACCAATGAAGTTCTGGTTTCGTACCGAGATCTAAAAAACACTGGCACCACATCACGTTGTGTCGTTAAGTGTCACTTGGATTAATTCTGAACAAAAGATGCTGTCGGGTAAAGCAGCCACATGATGTTGTAGAAAGAAAACCAGACTTGCGGGTCTGTTTCTGTGTTGTAATAAAAGCAGGTTTGCAGCTTGCTTACCTTTTGTTCAACTCTTGGTAACAGCTCCTCTCTGCAGCGTATGTGAGAAGGTAGTTCTTGTAGCTGCGCTACAAGATGGATGGTCTGGGAGTCTTTGTATGTGTAACTGCCACACCAGGAAAGCAAAACGATAGTGTTTCTTGTATGAGAGACTGAAATGTCCTATGGCTGTCTCAAAGCTTGTTTGTGTCTGTGCAAACCTCCAAGAGAAGCTGCTGTGGCCTGTGAACTGGTCTGGGGAGTGCCGCCCAGAGAACCAGGAGTGTACTGAAGGATGCACTCTCCGCTTCTTGGTGGTTGCATTGTCTGGACTCTTTACATAAGCCTCAAAGGGGCAGACATGGACTGAGCTGGCCCCATCCTGGAGCCCTTTGTGGCTCCATTGTGTAGGCCAGATCCCATGCATGCACTGATAATGAAATAAGAGGCAAACGTTCCTGCCCTGGACAGGATGCAACAAAACCTGTTGGACCAGAGAAAAAAAAACTAAAGGTGAGTAGATATGCTGATCAGCTGGTACGATGAACTTAAAAAGGCAGCAGAAAATCTTGCCCTTGGTGCATCTACCATTGAGGCCTGATCTGTGTGCATCCACCATCGAAGCCAGATCCGTGTGCACCCAC